GAGGATTAAATGAGGAGGGGGAGAACCATGACTGCTACTTTGAGCTCCTTAAGAGAAAAAAAAAGGTGGGATGTTGATGCAATTAATAAAGAAATAAGCAAACAAACAATTCTATCCATATTGTAAAGCTACACTGTGGCACACAGAAAAAACACCCTAACTGGACAGCATAGTTGGTTGCAAGTTACAATACGAAAAATGGGAATCGGTCCTCGAAGAGCGTCATGCTATGCTGACTGGTAAAGCACTGCATTATTGTGGCGGGAAATGCCAACCTATATCCCCCAGTTGAAGAATGTTATTGATAGCCACAACATCACAAATGTCCCTGCTTAATGCAATTAACTCTGCTAGCCAGCATCTTAAAAAGCAGAGACATCACCTTGCCAACAAAGGTCCGTACAGTTAAAGCTATGGTTTTCACAGTAGTGATGTATGGAAGTGAGAGCTGGACCATAAAGAAGGCTGATTGCCGAAGAATTGATGCTTTTGAATTATGGTGCTGGAGGAGACTCTTGAGAGTTCCATTGACTGCAAGAAGATCAAACCTCTCCATGCTTAAGGAAATCAGCCCTGAGTGCTCACTGGAAGGACAGATCGTGAAGCTCAAGCTCCAATACTTTGGCCACCTCATGAGAAGAGAAGACTCCATGAAAAAGACCCTGATGTTGGGAAAGATGGAGGGCACAAGGAGAAGGGGACGACAGAGGATGAGATGGTTGGACAGTGTTCTCCAAGCTACCAGCATGAGTTTGACCAAACTGCAGGAGGCGGTGGAAGACAGGAGTGCCTGGCGTGCTCTGGTCCATGGGGTTACGAAGAGTCGGACACGACTAAATGACTAAACGACTAAACAACAACAACAAAATCCACTGAACATTGCACAGGGGCTGTGGATAGGACTTCTGACGGTGTTTTGTGACTCTCGGCAGCACATACTGCAAACAAACAATTCAACTGTCTTTCGATGCTGCTAGGAAAAGACTGTTTTGTGAGCTTCTCAGAAAAACCCACTCTCTACTTCAACTGGCTTTTACAAGAGACATCCCTCGTGTTTTGAAGTGTTGGCTGCCAGCTCCACTCCAACATCTGGCTTGGTCCAGAGTCTCTACTCAAGAGATAGGGCTGTTAAGAGGATTTGCACGTCCAGGCAAATATGACTCACTCTCCTTTCCATTTTTGAACTGACTAGCTTTGTCCTCCGTGTTTATCCTGGTCTGGTGTGCTCCTCACTGCTTGGATACCCTTTCAACCATTCCTTGTTAAGTGAATCTAAGTAACAGCTGATCGACACATCTGGCGGCTGCTTTTCTCTTGCAGAGTAGTGTTGTATGTGGGCAGCATTCAGCTTAAAAGTTGCTCTGGGGCAGGATTTTCCGAACTTGAGTCCTCAGCTGTTTTTGGACTACAGTTCCTGTCATCCCTGACCACTGGTCTTGCTAGCTAAGTTAGGGAAACACTGGTTTAGTCCAAGGGAGCCATTTGCTGTGGCAAATGCCTACTGGGTTTCAAGTTCCATGGGGAGCTGAATGGTATTTTCCATCTTAAGTGCATTGGCCCAAGCTCTTCAACTGGCCTAATGATAAATCTTTACACCTGCCCAGGAAAGCAGTTGCTAGTTCAATAAGCAAATATTTCCCTTTCCTGTTCCTGTTTCTTTTCATATAGAATTTTTATTAAACATTCTGTCTTACAATTGAAAATACTCATTTTACATCCTTAAGATATCAATGACTTCCCTTATTTTCTTTCCGTGACTCATTTTACATATCATAAAGCCCTGCATATTTTACAAAAACAATACCATTCCGTGTTCCATTATTGCATCCGTCAAAACTTAATTACACTGCTGAACTTATCTTAAACCCTGCCAGCCTTTTCAGCTGTACACAATTATTTCCCATATATTCAATAAACGTTTTCCAATCTTCTTTAAACGTTTGTCATTCTTGTTCTCTTATTCTATCTGTTAAGTCTGTGAGTTGTGCATATTCTGTCACTTGAGTTGACATTCTTCTTTGGTTGGGACCTCGCTCATTTTCCATTTTAGGGCTAACGAAACAAGGGCCGCAGTAGTAGCATACACCAATAACCATTTTTTGACACCTGGGAATTTCTGTCTGAATTATCCCCAACAGAAAGGACTCTCCTGACCTGCGATCAGCCCAATCCCGAAAGTTAGTATTTGGCAGGTTTTTCTTCTCTGAGTCAGCGACATTTCTTGTATTTCTACAAAAGCTCCCTGGGGGAAGGGAAAGCAAACCAGAGTGTGTCTGTATATAAGCCTATCAGAGCTGCAGATTGAATGTGGAGTAGCATAATTAATTGATCTTCACTAATGTGCCTTATCTGAAAGAGATATATATATCTCTAGATGCAAAGCACTCTTGTTGTACTGATAACACACCATTAGGGTTGTGCGCAGAGACCGCCAAGGATGCATTTGTGAACAGCTCTGTAGGAGGTCAGTCCTCTTTATATAATTAGAAGCTAGGAGAAAAGCGATGACAAACCTAGACAGCATCTTAAAAAGCAGAGACATCGCCTTGCCGATAAAAGTCCGTATAGTTAAAGCCATGGTTTTCCCAGTAATGATGTATGAAAGTGAGAGATGGACCATAAAGAAGGCTGATCGCCGAAGAATTGATGCTTTTGAATTATGGTGCTGGAGGAGACTCTTGAGAGTCCCATGGACTGCAAGAAGATCAAACCTATCCATTCTGAAGGAAATCAGCCCTGAGTGCTCACTGGAAGGACAGATCCTGAAGCTGAGGCTCCAATACTTTGGCCACCTCATGAGAAGAGAAGACTCCCTGGAAAAGACCCTGATGTTGGGAAAGATGGAGGGCACAAGAAGGGGACGACAGAGGACAAGATGGTTGGATAGTGTTCTCAAAGCTGCCAGCATGAGTTGGACCAAACTGCGGGAGGCAGTGGAAGACAGGAGTGCCTGGCGTGCTCTGGTCCATGGGGTCACGAAGAGTCTGACACGACTAAACGACTAAACAACAACAACAGAGAGGCTGGTTGCCTTCAGCTTCAGGTCTCAGTGCTGTTCTCTTGGTTCAAGCCCCATCTACTTCCATGACCTTTTCTGGTCAGTAGAGTTCTTTAAAGATCACTGTGCAATGGAAATGGCATTGATGTTAGCCTTTTGAGGTACACGGAAGCAGCTGTGTGTTAGCAATGATTACCCTTGTTTGTGTTCTAAGCAGGTGTTAGAGGCCTGATCCTGACCGATGCTGATCATGCCAGCGAATCAGTGATGACAGCGAATCAGTGATATCTTTTTTTAGGGCACTTAGCACCAGCCATTGCAGAGTTACAACTCTTGATGCTCCTGCAAGTCCGAGAACCATCACATGAAAAGATACTTGATTTTTCCCGGGTCATAACTGAATGCGGCCACTTCATTCCTTGGTTTCGCTGAAGTCTTATGACATTTTGGAAGCTCTCCAAAGACTGCATTACGCTGCCCAGAATAGTTCAAGAGCCCTTTGGGTGTATTCTAGACGAGGCAATCTAATGGATTTCTTCTAACTTTCTTTAAGGGGAAAAAGTCACTTTCACAGGGTTGAATGATAACCTTGCGGGAGCAAACGAAGGAAAGAAGACTGAAGCCATTGATGGGATGAAATGGCAGGGGAGCTGGCATGAGAGATCATGAGATATGGAAATGCGAGAGGCAGTGTTGGGCGTGTAACAGGGCAGGAGAACTGCGGGCAGAACTAAACAGGTGGCAGAACTGAGGCTAGACGAAAGAGACCTGAATCAGCGAGAAAGGAAGATCAGAAAGGAAAGAATTCTATATACATCAAACCGGGAGAGAACAAGGCTACAAGCCCAAGCACGTTTACACACAGTGGTTACAGGTAGGTAGCTGTGTTGGTCTGCCGTAATCGAAACAAATAAAAAAACCCCTTCCAGTAGCACCTTAAAGGTAAAGGGACCCCTGACCATTAAAGGTAAAGGGACCCCTGACCATTAGGTCCAGTCGTGGCCGACTCTGGGGTTGCGGGGCTCATCTTGCTTTATTGGCCAAGGGACCCGGCATACAGTTTCTGGGTCATGTGGCCAGCATGACTAAGCCGCTTCTGGCGAACCAGAGCAGCACACGGAAACGCTGTTTACCTTCCCGCCGGAGTGGTACCTATTTATCTACTTGCACTTTGACGTGCTTTTGAACTGCTAGGTTGACAGGAGCTGGGACCGAGCACCTTAGAGACCAACTAAGTTTGTTATTGGTATGAGCTTTCGTGTGCATGCACACTTCTTCAGATACACTGAAACAGAAGTCACCAGACCCTTATATATAGTGAGAGTGAAGGGGTAATAAGACAGGTACTTTGAGATCTTGTACAGAATGTCCTGGGAGATTGAAGTGTTCTCCTACTGGTTTCTGTGTCTTGTGATTCCTGATATCAGATTTATGCCCATTTATCTAGATTGGACAAACAGGCCAAACCCTCCGCCAAAGGATAAATGGACCTAAATCTGATATCAGGAATCACAAGACACAGAAACCAGTAGGAGAACACTTCAATCTCCCAGGACATTCTGTACAAGATCTCAAAGTACCTGCCTTATTACAAAAGATTTTCAGAAATAGATTGGAAAGAGAAGATGTTGAATTGCAACTTATTACCAAACTTAAAACCATGGAAAGACCTAGTCTGAATAGAGACATTGGATTCTTATCTCATTATACATGTTATTGCTATTTTTAGCCATCTCACCCCTTGCTTTTTCCTGTAAGACCAATGGCAGTCGTTGGCAGTCGTCAACAGGTTTACCACACCTATCAGCCAATCACCCATTCCCACCACCCTTCTGAGTAATACCCCACCCCACCCTCTCACTATATATAAGGGCCTGGTGACTTCTGTTTCAGTGTATCTGAAAAATTGTGCATGCACACAAAAGCTCATACCAATAACAAACTTAGCTGGTCTCTAAGTTGCTACTGGAAGGAATTTTTTTATTTTGTTACACACAGTGAGATCAACTTCTGAGTCATGCATAAGATTATGTTGTAGGAGAACAAAGCCATACCTTTGCAGCAGGAGTTTAATGAACCTTTTTTCGTGTCTGCAATATATTGAAAAAGAAAGAGAAGAACCTAAGATATATTCTTAAGATTTTTATCCCAGCCTAGAGGCTCTCAAGGGGCAGTGAACACAACTGTATTGAAATGTGTGCATCACATACCAAATGTAATGTCAAAATCACAAACAGGAACGGCAAAAGCATGCCACAGCAGACACAACTGCACTGTAGAGCATACAAAAATGAGACTTTGGAGCAGAGGCGGAGGCTCTGTGGTGCCCCAGATGTTGCTATGCTACAGTGCCCTCCAGATGTTGGGCTATAACTCCCATCAGTCCCAGCCAGTAGAGCTTGTGGCTAAGGATGATATACAGGGTTAGGCCCTTTATACCTAAAATAGTGTCTCCATCCTCATCATCCAGCTTGGACACTGAGATCCAGCTCCAAGGGCCTTCTGGTGGTTCCCTCACTGTGAGAAGTGAAGCTACAGGGAACCAAGCAGAGGGCCTTCTCGGTAGTGGCACCCGCCCTGTGGAATGTCCTTCCGTCAAGGAGATGAATAACTATATCACCTTTAGAAGACATCTGAAGGCAGCCCAATATCAGGAAGTTTTTAATGTTTGATTTTTGGTTGTGTTTTTATGATGTCGAAAGCTGTTCAGAGTGGCTGGGGCAACCCAGTCAGATGGGTGGGGTATATTATGATTATAATTATTATGGTTGTATTCCAGCAACATCTGGAGGGAACTGTGTTGGGTATCCCCATGGTACCATAATTCCCATCATCCCTTATCATGGTACTAATTCTTGTGTGTACAATTTAAAACCAATCCTGAACCCTCCCCCCCCACACATTTAACCATCACCATTTATTTGCATAATGCCTTTGCATCGTTAAACCATGTTTGTGTGTGTACACACACACACACCAAAATCCAGTCACAATATATAACATAGTTTTTGTGATTATAATCAATAAACCAGGGTTTCCCAAACTTGGGTCTCCAGCTGTTTTTGGAGAGGAGGAGGAAGCACTAGGCGGGTGACGGCTGATGGACACAGTGTCTTTAGAAAGCATTCCAGACCCCCTCTCACCCAGAACCTGGCGAGCCTTGAAAGTAGGAGAGCAAAGAGCTCAAAGGCAGAAGGCACTTAGCAGCACACATAGGAGAGACAATGAGAATGATGAATGAGGAAGTGGGAGAGATGGGGGTAGGGTGGATAGGACAACACCATTACCCAAGAGGCTGGATTCTATAGCCTCTCTCTGTAAATACTGAATAGAAAACGGAAGGCAAGAAACATTTCCTTGTCTTTGTACGTTCCTGGGCAACCAGCCGTGAGTCGCTGGCAGCAGCATGACCCAAGGTGATGAGAGTCTAGTGTGGCTCTTTTCTTCTGCATCATGACATTGTTTGTTGTGCACTGAAGAAGAGAAGAAGAGTTTGGATTTGATATCCCGCTTTATCACTACCCTAAGGAGTCTCAAAGCGGCTCACATTCTCCTTTCCCTTCCTCCCCCACAACAAACACTCTGTGAGGTGAGTGGGGCTGAGAGACTTCAAAGAAGTGTGACTGGCCCAAGGTCACCCAGCAGCTGCATGTGGAGGAGCGGGGAATCGAACCCGGTTCCCCAGATTACGAGTCCACCACTCTTAACCACTACACCACACTGGCTCTCACTGGATCCTGAGAATCTGATGGAGATTCAATAGGCACACATGGCGCCCCCCTTTTTTGCCTGTCCCATGCCAGGAAGTCTGCTGAATGTGCCTTACCTTCCACATTGACGTTAAAACTGTGTTGCATGGTTGGTGGCTGGATGCAGAAGTTGAACAAGGAAAACCAACATCAACTCAAGCTTAGCTGGACTCATGGGAAGTGACGCATGAGTTTGAATGGCTCACCTGACTCACGTCCTCATATGTGACTATTCCCAACAATCCCAGTAATTATGGTCTTGGGACATAGTTGTGCTGTTGACCTCTCACCTGCTGGTTTCCCTGTTGAACTCATCCAACAAGTTCTGTAAGTCCTCTTCCTCTTGCCCTTGGGTGCCATTCAATCCTGGCGCTGGGTGCAAGGGAAGAAAGCTCAGTTACAGGAAGAGGAAATGCTCAGATTTTAAATATCGGCATTGAGCTGGAAAAGGAAACAAGGAAAAGAAGAGAGCATATTATATAACAGTATTGCACATCTCTGGAAGTGGCCATATTTCATCCTTCTGTTGTAGAACTACTGATGGCTCGGGCAAGAAAATAACTGACTGAAAACTGAGAAGCAAGGGAAGATAATACACAGTGTTTTGGAGGGGAAATGGTTTGAATAGGAAAGACTATACACACATCCACAACCCTCTTCCATATGAGAACCTCATAGGGAAAGAGTTTTCTCTTTGCTGAAAGGATACGTAAGTAAGGTCAACTGGTTAAGTCCAGTTTAATTTGACTATGGGAGGCTTTCAGGCCAAGGGAGCCGGCGATTATCCACAGACATTTCCAGGTCATGTGGCCAGCATGACTAAACTGCTTCTGGCATACAGAACACCGTGACGAGTACCAGAGTTCACGAAAATGGTTTACCTTCCCGCCACAGTAGTACCTATTTATCTACTCGTGCTGGTATGTTTTTGAACTGCTAGGTTGGCAGGAGCTGGGACAAAGCAGCAATCAATTGTATATAGCCAGGCCCTACGTTACATTGAGTCAATCACCCACCTCCCACTACCCTTCTGAGAAAAACCTCACCCCACCCTCCCAGTATATAAAAGGGTCTGGTGACTTCCGTTTCAGTGTATCTGAAGAAGTATGCATGCACACAAAAGCTTATACCCAGAAAAAACTCAGTTGGTCTCTAAGGTGCTACTGGACAATTTTTAATGTTTTTTAATTTTTTTAATCTATTTTGACTGCGTCAGACCAACATGGCTACCTACCTGAATGTAAAAGCAGCAGGAGTTCACTCCATTGCATGGATTCGAACTGCTGACCTTACAATCAGCAGGCCCAAGAGACTCAGTGGTTTAGACCACAGCGCCACCCACATCCCTAGTATGTCCCTACTAACAGCGTTGGTGGCTTCTGATGCAACAACGTTACTAACAGTGTTAGTAACGCTGTTGCATCAGAAGCCACCAATCACTAGCTTAATCGCACGTCTATTTCCATGTCCAGCAACCAACGCAACTTGCTCTAAGGAAATAGGTGAAGCTTACCTTCCTCTTGCAGGCCCTGAAGCAAAGACTCCAGAACAGATGGGGACACAGTGCTGAGCAATAGCCAGTGCAGCAACTGTTTGGAACTATAAATAAATGCAAGCAGAAAAAAACAAAACAGGAAGGGAGGAGGGAGGGAGGGAAAGAAGAGCAGGACAACGTCAACCAAGGGTGAATCCAGACCGACATTATTTTCAATCACATACTGAAAATTCAGGGTGGGAAGTGACCGTTTATTGGAAAGTCATCTACAGCATCAAGGCCTCTTCCCCGAAATACCACTTTTTATTTGGGCAGTAAGGAAAGTGATGGGGAAATGTGCCATGAAGTGTGTGACAACACTGGCTTTTACCCATCATCTAACCTTCCCGCAAACAAATCGGAATGGCTGCTCAAGGAACGGGTTGTTCAGAAATGCCACGAGAAGGGAAGTTTAGGCCGGCACTCGCTCAGTTATAGTCTGTTCTTATGGCCACATTTTCGTATGCATTCCCATCATCTGACGGTTGTCTCACTGGTTTACATAGTCTTTAATCAAACTAGCCACAGCGTAGCAGTGAAATAAGAGGACTGTTGCTAGAAGGACTTAAAAGTGGCCAATCATCCTTTCCATGCTATGCACACATTCATTTTCCTTTTGTCACAATCTGCTGAAGTTGATTTTGCAAGATCTGGGGAATGTGACCAGATGGCAGTGCACTTAGTATGCACACCATGTAGTAGTAATAATAATAATAATAATAATAATAATAATAATAAGAAGAAGAAGAAGAAGAAGAAGAAGAAGTTGTAGTCCACCCATCTGGATGGGTTCCCTCAGCCAGTCAGTTTATGTACAGAAACATAATAAAACATTTTTTAAAAAATCTCTATACAGGGCTGATGTCTTCCAAAGGTTGTATTGTTACTTATCTTCTTGATATCTGCTGGGAGGGCACCACTACCGAGAAGGCCCTCTGCCTGATTCCCTGTAACTTCACTTCTCACAGTGAGAGAACTGCCAGAAGGCCCTTGGAGATGGATCTCTGTGTCTAGGCTGAATGATGGAAGTGGAGATGCTCCTTCAGGTGTGCTATAGTGCACCAGACTCTCTCTCACGACTGCTGTGGAAATGCTCCTTCACTCATTCTGCTGATACCCATCAACATACCCCCTAATCCTACTTTACAGTTTCTGGGAGTGAGCCCCAGCAGTGAAGCAGATTTTGGAGCTATGCAATGCTTCTAATTCACCTCCAGGGACCCAAACCATCTTGTTGATGAGCAAGTAATCCTTGCCATCGTCTCTCCTTAGCCTTCTTCTCAGTCTGCCCAGAAGTGATTAATGGATTTAAAATCTGCCACTGGTCTCCTGAAAACAGCCCCCAAACCACTGTGAATACTAAGCAGGAAAAAATGAGCAAGGGATTTAATATGAAAGACTTCAAAGGGCTTAAATTCAACGCTGGATCGTTTCCTCTTTAAAACTCTTCAGAAAAATTATGGAGGGTAGAACGGCTGCACATTACTAGGCAAAACATGCTGGGTTTTAGGAGCATCCCAGAATTTCATATTAATCATTTACATATCAGATATTTCATCTTCCTCCTCATTAGAAAATCTGCAGCGCTATGATTACTAGAGTGTCATGTAAAAGCTCACAGGGCAACAACTTCCAAGAACTGTCAACAGAACAGAGTTCTGCTTCCTGGGCCCTTGAGATGTGATGCATTTCATATAAGTAACATTCCCTCCCATTCTTAGCACTGCACTCATAGCAAAAGAACAGAGCTAAGGGCAGAAACAGAGGAAGACAGTTTAGATGCTCCAGAGGGCAGAAGCAAAACCAGTTTGTTTGTTTGTTTCTTTGTTTGTTTGTTTAAATTTATTACTGGGAAATGATATATAATGAAATGAAAAGGATGTTTAAAATAACATTTGTAAAAACCCCAGAAGCCTTTCTTCTGGGAATTATAGGGATAGATAAAGGGGTAAAGGGGACCCCTGACCATTAGGTCCAGTCGTGACCGACTCTGGGGTTGCAGCGCTCATCTCACTTTATTGGCCGAGGGAGCAGGGGTACAGCTTCCGGGTCATGTGGCCAGAATGACTAAGCCACTTCTGGCGAACCAAAGCAGCACATGGAAACGCCGTTTACCTTCCTGCCAGAGCGGTACATATTTATCTACTTGCACTTTGACGTGCTTTTGAACTGCTAGGTTGGCAGGAGCAGGGACTGAGCAACGGGAGCTCACCCCGTCGCGGGGATTCGAACCACTGACCTTCTGATCGGCAAGTCCTAGGCTCTGTGGTTTAACCCACAGCGCCACCTGCGTCCCTCTTATATATTATAGGGTAGAACTACCTAAATTGTATAGAAATTGATTTATGTATGCTACTATAGCGGCAAGAATGTTACTTGCCCAAAAATGGAAAGAAGAAAAAGTCCCAGCAAAGGAAGAATGGATACCAAAACTGATGGGATATGCAGATGTGGTGAAACTTACTGGAATAATAAGAAATCAAGATAACAAACTTTTGATAAAAGAATGGAAATGGTTTATGGAATATCTACAGATAAATTGTAATCAGATAAAAACACTGGCAGGATTATTGTAATAACCTGCAGCTATATAAGTGTGTGTGTGTGTGTGTGTGTGTGTGTGTGTGTGTGTGTGATAAATGAGGAAGTTAAGTTAATTTGTATATGCAGAAGATAGTAAAAATAAATTCAAGGAACCGCAGAAAGAGGGGGAAGGAAGTCAAGTTTTCAAACGTCAACATGAATGTAAAATTAGTGAAATGTATATATATCTGAAAAGTATAAATTATATATATAATTTTAGAATTTACATTTATACCCTACCCAAAGAGGCCCAGGACAGCAAACAACAAGCAGTGAAACAAAAGCAGCAACAAAAGTCTTAAAAGCAATTCCAATACAGGTGCAGAATGGGACTAGGTGAATCAATGGATCGCAATGGCAAGGTAGCAGATACTGGTTAAACATTAGGAGAAGTTAAGAGATGCTTTACAACAGAACAAATGCCCTTGGGTGTGTTGGGGGGTCTCCTTTCAAGCAGAGGCTGGCTCTGCAATTGCATCCTGCGTTGAGCTGGGGGTGGGGGCTGTCCTGGATGATCTTCAACATGGCATTCAACTGTACGATCTGAGACACTGGGCTGGTTTCACAGAAGGCGGGAAGCCAAACTACGATTTCTCCAGAGGGGAGATTGCAGCCACGCTCCTCCACTTCTTAAAGTTAGCCAGTTGGGACTGTTCACCTTGGGAAAGGTTTCCCCCCTTCTTTTCCCTTTTAAAAATAATGTTCATTTCACTTGATTCACTCTCCCCCCTCCAAAAACACCTCCTTCCCCACTGTGACACACTTCCTGTCTGCATGCCTGAAGCTGATGTAAAATAACAAACCACAAATTTGTGAACCATGGAGTGGATTGCATGGAAAAAATGACGATTCTGGTTGACTTCATGTGGAGCAGTGGTGAGAGTCGGCCTGACAGGCCTTCTGGAAATTGCTGGCCACTTCCCTCACTATTAAGTGGAAAAAGCAGAGAGAGTGAACGAGAGGAGGGGAGAGAGAGACAGACGGACGGACAGACAGAGGACCACACTGCAAAGATCCATCCTGTATTATCAGCTAAAAGATCTACTTCGAAGTAAGTCCTTCAGGGTCCAATGGAACCTACTCCCATGTCAGCGTACAGGATTGCAGCTGAAAAGCATTCTAGTGGGTTATCGTTATTCCAAATGTTGCTGCCTCTTGGTAATCCACCGTTCCCGTGATCTAATTATATTCTGAAGCAAAGATCTGATTAATATGAAGATCTGATTAATATTAATATGAAGAAGATATGGCAAGTGCAGGATGCGGGTGGCGCTGTGGGTTAAACCATATTAATCAGCCTAGGACTTGCCGATCAGGAGGTCGGCGGTTTGAATCCCCGCAACGGGGTGAGCTCCCATTGCTCGGTCCCTGCTCCTGCCCACCTAGCAGTTCGAAAGCACGCCAAAGTGCAAATAGATAAATAGATAAATACCTCCAGAGGGAAGGTAAACGGCGTTTCCGTGTGTTGCTCTGGTTCGCCAGAAGTGGCTTAGTGATGCTGGCCACATGACCCAGAAGCTGTACACTGGCTCCCTCAGCCAGTAAAGCGAGATGAGCGCCGCAACCCCAGAGTCGGTCACGACTGGACCTAATAGTCAGGGGTCCCTTTACCATTGGCAAGTGTGTTTTGGGGACAGATAACTTCCTTTCCTTTTACAGCTTTCTGTTGGCTCAAACTTGTTCGTTCGGCAGCACAGATATACGTAGAACTGGGGATATGGTGATTTGCAGATTCACGAGCTTTGATGTGGACACAGAAGTCCCCTTGCTCAAGTGGATTCGCTGCTAACTTCAATGGTGCTAATGTCTGTGCAAGTGCAAAGGGATGTGTTGAGCTAACAACCTCTACTCCCCCTGAAAAAGGCACAGAGGATCTTTAGGGGATTGTCTGAAGCTGTTTTTCAGACACAACTGAATGAGACTAGTCCTCATGATTGCTAATGATAGCTTTGCCCCAAATTTCGAAAACTTCATTTATCCAATCCAATCCAAATAATTTTATTGTGCTAGCCACTGGCCATGACAAATCTGAATCAAAAATTAACACAAGCAGTAGGGGTGTCGTGCCACAAATAATAGTCTCTATTTAGATCTCTGCGTCTCCCTTACAGTTCACTGCTATATTGCCCAGGGTCTTCTTTCTGAACTTCCTGGCTGCCAAAGCAAAAAGGGTGACTTTATGAGTCACTGAAGTGATTACATTGCTAAGAAGCCATTGGACATTCTCTGCTGGGGAGACACATCTTTCCTTTACAGACGGTAAGGTGAGAAATCGCCTTCTGGGTCCAATGTATAGTGGGCAATGTAGTAAATAGTGCAATATGTCTTCCGGCTGTGATTACCCACATATGCAGAGCCTGTCCTCTAAAGATTCCATCAATGGTGTCTCCGAATTTTTTTTACACATCACTTGGGAAGACTGGCGAACTAATGCCAGTGTACTGGAAGAAGC